TATGTATATCAAGCTTGTACATGTTGTGTTCTGTGTGATATATAAAGTAGTGTATAGATGTGATTTTGTATATTATTGTTTACCTACATGTGCCTATAATTTGTATACAAACTAACAATTGTCTTGCTCGAGCTCTCAAAAGTTGTGTTTTATTTTGACGTGTTAAGGATGGGATATCACACACCATAAAAGAGGTTCATTGCATCTTGCTGCCAGTTATAAATAAAAGGTACAGACATTTTTGGAAAAGCAATACAACATTGTCTACCCTCGAAAGATTGAACTGTTATTAATGTTGGTATATGTATGGTTTGGTCTTGAGAGCTAAATCATATATGTGTTTGTGTGACTGGTTAGTTTATTGTCACTGTAATGTTATCAGAGTGTCGTGACATGCTACTGCGTCCAAGTTTATGACTTTTCGGTGAGATTGCACTTTAAATTGGCCCTGGAGTGGTGCCATCTTCCACAAACACCGTTTTCATATGACCGTGGCTATTATGAGAACATTAAACCCCAAACAAACATACGTGTTGTGTTCTGAAGTTCCCTTAACAGATATTTTAACCTTGGTATATATATACTCAATGTTGCTTACAGTTTTATAGTTGGTGCCAATGAGTATGACTGTGTTATGGAGATGTTGGTTTATGTATTTGTCCTCCAGAGATGTTTGTTTACATATTTGTGCTCCAGAGATGTTTGTTTACATATTTGTGCTCCGGAGATGTTGGTTTATGTATTTGTCCTCCAGAGATTTGGGTTGACATATGCTTGCTCAAGAGATGTTGGTACATGTTATAGCTCCTGAAATGTTGGTTTATCTTTTTGTGATCAGATGTTGGTATTTTGTGTTGGAGTTCCAGAGATGTTGATATATATATATATATGTCTTTAAGGGCTCCATGGGTAAGTGTAATGTTCTTGCTTACTTATCTATTTACACTGTATGTGCAGCGAGGCTCCAAAGGTTAAGTGGATCCTTAAACTTGGTATAGGTACGCCAGATAGTGTCACATTGTTACGTTGATGTATTTTGAGACCTATAGGTAACGTGTTAAGTATAATGTTGGTACATCTATGTGTTAGCATCCATAGGTTAGGCATACAGTGCAACTTGGTGCGACATGAACTCTTTGTTGTGTAGCATCGCCGGGTTCAATTATTCATGGCCGATGGAGGGAGTTAATATTTAATAGGTGTAGTGTATATCTGGCCTCCCTAATCTGGTGATTATACACTTAATGAACGCCGTACAGCGCACCCCCTACACACCCTTTGTTCCCCTATAAATAACCAAAAATAATTGCCCAAATTGGGGTGGGTTTCATGGAGCCTAGTTTTTTCGGAGCTTTGTTGACATTTGCACAGTAGACATATGGTAATGAATTTTTCAGTGGGTGTGATGTGTGAAATTTGAACACCAAAAAATGTGTGCAGACAAAAAATGAATGTTTTGTGAAATTTCCATTTGTATTGATTGCTTTTGTGTTGGAGTCAAGAACATAACTGACACTGTCGTCAGCACGAGAGTCTAGTACATACCTGACACTGTCCTCAGCACAACACAGTATTGAGAGTCTAGTACATACCTGACACTGTCATCAGTACAACACAGTGTTGAGAGTCTAGTACATACCTGACCTTGTCGTCAGTACAACACAGTGGTGGGAGTCTAGTACATACCTGCCAGTGTCGTCGTTACAACGCGGTGTTGGGAGTCTAGTACATCCCTGCCACTGTCGTCAGTACAACACAGTGTTGGGATCTAGTACATACCTGCCACTGTCGTTGTTACAACACAGTGTTGGGAGTCTAGTACATACCTGCTACTGTCGTCGCTACAACACAGTGTTGGGAGTCTAGTACATACCTGCCACTGTTGTCAGTACAACACCGTGTTGGGAGTCAAGTACATACCTGCCACTGTCGTTAGTACAACACAGTGTTGGGAGTCTAGTACATACCTGCCACTGTTGTCAGTACAACACCGTGTTGGGAGTCTAGTACATACCTGACCTTGTCGTCAGTACAACACAGTGTTGGGAGTCTAGTACATACCTGCCAGTGTCGTCGTTACAACACGGTGTTGGGAGTCTAGTACATACCTGACACTGTCGTCAGTACAACACAGTGTTGGGAGTCTAGTACATACCTGACACTGTCGTCGTTACAACACCGTGTTGGGAGTCTAGTACATACCTGACACTGTCGTCAGTACAACACCGTGTTGGGAGTCTAGTACATACCTGCCACTGTTGTCAGTACAACACCGTGTTGGGAGTCTAGTACATACCTGACACTGTCATCAGTACAACACAGTGTTGGGAGTCTAGTACATACCTGACACTGTCGTCAGTACAACACAGTGTTGGGAGTCTAGTACATACCTGACACTGTTGTCAGTACAATACCGTGTTGGGAGTCTAGTACATACCTGACACTGTCGTCAGTACAACACCGTGTTGGGAGTCTAGTACATACCTGACACTGTCGTCGTTACAACACAGTGTTGGGAGTCTAGTACATACCTGACACTGTCGTCGTTACAACACAGTGTTGGGAGTCTAGTACATACCTGACACTGTCGTCGTTACACAACAAGTACATGTGGCTTCATTAACCACACTCATAAACATTTAGGGAAATACATGTCACAGTTATCCAGTATCGTAGGTAACCGAATCTATATGTAAACCTCCGCCAGGTACAATGAATATGGTTTACCTTTTTTTACCAGTATTTATATGTAAACCTCCGCTTGGTACAATGAATATGGTTGTACCTTTGTTTACCAGTATTTATATGTCAACCCCTGCTAGGTACAGTGAACATGCTTTACCTTTGTTTACCAGTATTTATATGTAAACCTCCGCTAGGTACAGTGAACATGCTTTACCTGTTCACAAGTTTATAGATGTAAACACCTGCTAGGTACAGTGATCATGCTTTACCTTTGTTTACCAGTATTTATATGTAAACCTCCGCTAGGTACAGTGAACATGCTTTACATTTGTCTACCAGTTTATAGATGTAAACAACCGCTTATAAGGTACATGAACACGGTTGATCTATGTTTACCAGTATGAGGGTACAGTGAACATGCTTTTCCTTTCTTTACCAGTTTATAGATGTTAACCCCTGCTAGGTACAGTGAAGATGCTGTACCTTTGTTTACCAGTTTATAGATGTAACCCCCTGCTAGGTACAGTGAACATGCTTTACCTTTGTCTACCAGTTTATAGATGTAAACAACTGCTTATAAGGTACATGAACATGGTTGATCTATGTTTACCAGTATGATGGTACAGTGAACATGCTTTACCTTTGTCTACCAGTTTATAGATGTAAACCACTGCTTATAAGGTACATGAACACGGTTGATCTATGTTTACCAGTATGATGGTATAGTGAACATGCTTTACCTTTGTTTACCAACCGATCATGTACAATATTATATGTTTACCGTTCTCGTCTGTATAGATACAGCTAACACTGTTAATCCTAATTTACCTATGCGTGTGCATGTCGCCAATCATGAAATCTTTTGTTTGGTACCAGAATTACACAGAACACAAATCCCTGATGGTTTTTGAGACGATATGGTAAAATGAAGGTTACACTGATGTAGGTTTTAGTGTCTAATGTACGAGGCACACCATATACGGCTTTAATGAAGACCTAGGGGTTCCTGTCGGCTGTACATGTCCCATTTCCTCAGCAGCAGTTAACCGAGTGTGTGTACGGAAGTATTTATTGGAGCTGGGACTTTTTTTATTACTATCATGGAAGCTAGTGTCTTATTTAGTTGATACAATGGCGGTGCCTCCCCTATCTGGACACCCGGTAATTTTGTCAAGTTGCCTATTTATTGCATTCGTAGAGGATGATCCGTCAACTCTTTCCCCCAGCCCTAGCCCGGTTCTTCATCTGTCTTACACTCACCATATAATCAAGTTTGGTCCGACAGTTGGTGTAGGATTTTATTTAGTCCGATCAGTTTGCCCGGGTTCGGCCTGGCGGTACTGGCCAGCTCTGTGTTTATTGGGGGATGTTTTGGCACGGAAACTAAAGGTCAGGTCATGGTCTGCCTGGACCTTGTGCTGGGTGCCAAGTTCACAGTGTGAGAAGTCTAGCAATGAAAAAAATCTCGTTTGGATCTTTTTTTGTGTGTTTGATGTCCTCCTGGTGTAAAAATAATGGTTCTGGTTTATATATATCTGGGTGTGTGGTACCGAGGTTCCTGTTGTATGTAACAGATTATGAATTGATAGTGTGTCTTTGCATGTCAAGTCTAAGTCGGTGGGTATGGGGAGATATGTGTTGTCCTTGTTTGTTCATTCTGTTTATGTCTAGACCATAATGTAAGGTCTCCTCATGCAAAAATGTCAGTGTGTCTGTATTGTCAAAACAAATATGTGTAATAACTCGTATCTTTAGGTAAAAAATTATATTTGCTTTCTTTTGCTCAAACCTGTAACCAATCTGCACTATTACTTTGCCTGTACATATATCAAAACAACTATCAGTTATTATTGAAGTGTTGCAAGTTAGAGATCTCTTATTTATATATTAACCTGAAGCCTAAACATGAAAATTGTGAAGGTTATTGAGATTGGCAAAGCTGTGATATTATGACAATAGTTGAAGTCATTTGCAAATTAATAATCAGAGGGCAAGAGCACTTTGTTTTATGTTACAAAAGAAACAGAAATTTTGTTTAATTTGTCCTGAAATTCACATCAAGATTGAAGTGATGGCAATTTAAACCTTTAGTAGGTCCTTAAGGTCCTGTGTATCTTCTAATTGGAAACCTTAATGCATCCTGAAAATACACACCTGACAGGTAAAACTATATCAATTTTGACGATGAACTTCTATCTGGAAAAAGATATTTGATTATAAAATTGTATGTATTTTTAAGAAGAAAACATAATGCTTTTTCAGGTATGATTTGTTATCCATTTCCTAATATGCTAATGTTCCTTTGTACATTTCAGCCTGTAAAAGAAAGGAACAGGAGCAGCAAGCCCAGGACCAGAGGCACCCCAAAAAACCCAGGCTAGTGTTTACTGATATTCAGAGGAGAACGTTGCACGCAATATTTAAGGAAACCAAGAGACCGTCAAAGGAAATGCAAGCTACTATTGCACAACAACTCGGACTCGAAGTGTCCACTGTCGCCAATTTCTTCATGAACGCTCGCCGGCGGTCCATTGATAAATGGCGAGACGACAACGGTAACAACAATCGAGACAGTGTGCCCAAGAGCTGAGTTGTCGTGACGATGTCCAACAGGTTTCTCAGTGATTGTGGTCGGTCATCTTCGTTGTGCATCCATATTTTGTTCATCTGTCCATAGAACAGTCATCGGTATGGCGTACATCGTACCGAAAAACATTTCATATATATAAACATTATATATTGATGAATTATCATTATGTTACAAAGAAATGTATGTGTGTGCATGCAGATGTGTGTGAGTGAGGGTTGTTGTATGCATGTGGGGAGGTGTGGTGTTCCGATATCTTCTCCCACATACCAAAGCTCTAGCATAACTATGGTGTTCTCATCAAAAACCACATGACTAGAGGCTGGACCATATTTATTTTCTGCCCTTGTTAAGAAATCCCAGATCAATCATTCCATTTACAATGTTGTATTTTTTAACTTATGTGGAAATCTTTTTATTTACAGTACAAATATTTTAACACTTTTTGAATTTTTAATTTTGTTTTTTTCTTTTGTTAGACTTAAAGTCAAATGATTTTTGTAGTTCATCTGAGTTATTAATTTGGCTCATAATTCGTTGATGTTGTGTTGTTTAGTTTGTGATTATGAGGGTTAATATAAAACTTTAATCAAGTTTTAAAAGAAAAATTTGATGGCAAGGTATAGGGCATTTTCAATCAATCAAGAAATACCACTCGTTTCACAGTGTTTTATGTGTGTTTGGACAAGACATGTAACGGTTACACATCAAACACAGCTATTTTGACGGGACATTTTTCTGTGACCTCGTGCCACCATTCCTTTACATAGTGCTCAAGCATTTTTACATCCTGTGCCTAACTGACTGGCACAAATTGGTATTGATTTATCATTAGAGGTTTTTACACCCAAGGTTTTTAAATTGAAATTGGGAAGTCAGTGCTCTTTTCCAAGATTGATAATCTAAAAGTATTTTAATGGCTCTTAAGATGCTGAAATTAAGTGTATTTGAATGAAATAATTATGAAGTTTTGAAAATTGGTTAAATCTAATGGTTGATGATTAAGGTTTTGAAGTGTCTGCTCTCTGCTTATATATATAGATAATATAATTTATAAAGAAGCAGAAGATTATAATCAATCATGACAAATGTAATTTGATATGTTGTTACTACTGTTGATTGTCTCCCCAAGGTGGACAAACCTGACCGCAGCCAGCATAACTCTAGTCAGATCAGATACAACAGTTAGCCTCAGAATACTGAGTCCATAACTTGCCATCAACTCCCTCCTTTTATGAAGTTTAGTTTTTAGCGAATTCCACTGATCTGTCTCATGTGTTTGTTCCTTACTACGTATGTATTAGGAGTTCATTGGCAGGTGCTTATTTATTTTATTTATGGCTTATTGTTGATGTTGTGTTTCCTTGTGCTTTTATTTATCCCTGTGAATTTTTTTACATCCATGACATATCAAATCTACAACTGTACAGCATGCTGTATGTGTTCAAAACATCCCAAAGACCAAGATCTAGTCAGTCCTGACCATGGTCTTTCTATATCTTGACAACATTCACTTGGAACAAATTAATTAATCCCTAACTGATCAATGGTCATTGATTCGAGCAATCATTGTATCAAATTTGTGCAATATTTACTGATTTTTGTTAGTCCTTAAACTATTTAAGGTGACACGTTAATTATTTGTTGATTTTTGTTTTATTGTAATAATTGTTGATTAATTTATTTAGTGCCCAGATACCGCGTCATGTGGAAAAGTCTTGTGTTCGTATGCAGGTTGTAAATGTTTGGTTGATCCTTCTAATTGATATGTGTATCTACCATTACTGTAATGGTCTCTATTGGGCAGCACCTGCTTATGTTGAGATCTCACTGATCATAGGATGTGAACGTGTCCAACTGGTGTGTCCGTTAACTTACAAGTTACACAGAGGAAAGCTGAGCTTTATTCACGACAGTCGGCACAAGAGCTGAAAACTCAGCTTAATCCAACCAGCACACGAGTTGAAAGGTCATCATGATCACATCAGTACATGAGTTAAAAGGTCATCGTGATCACATCAGTACATGAGTTAAAAGGTCATCATGATCACATCAGTACATGAGTTAAAAGGTCCAGTAGATAACTGATGAGCTCATGAGTTTAATGGTAACACTATTCTTAATCACTCATGAGTTTAAGTCATCGTTGCCCGGCCAGATTAGGCATAGATGAATTTGTTAATCTAGAATCTAGTCAAGGGATTTTCGGAGATAAATATATAGCATAATATTGTGCTAATATTTAGGACAGTGTCCTAGAGAGCGATATGCTTATTTCCGTTATTCCGGTCAAGTTGCTAAATTTTCCTGATTGCAAAGGTTCTACTGTGTACCGGTACACAAATCAAATAACAAAACACCAATAGTGTTATAGTGGTAATCACTAAAATGATTGATAGTGTTATCGTGGTAATCACTAAAATGATTGATAGAGTTATAGTGGTAATCACTATAACACTATCAACGTTTTAGTGATTACCACTAAAACACTATCAATGTTTTAGAGATTACCACTATAACACTAACAATGTTTTAGTGATTACCACTATAGCACTATCAATGTTTTAGGGATTACCACTATAACACCATCAATGTTTTAGTGATTACAACTATAACACTATCAATCTTTTAGTGATTACCACTAAAACACTATCAATGTTTTAGTGATTACAACTATAACACTATCAATCATTTTAGTGATTACAACTATAAAACTATCAATCATTTTAGCGATTACCACTATAACACTAATACATTGATAGTGCTATAGTGGTAATCACTATAACACTATCAATGCTTTAGTGATTACCACTATAACACTAATACATTGATAGTGTTATAGTGGTAATCACTAAAACATTGATGGTGTTATAGTGGTAATCACTAATACATAGTTATATAAAGATAAAGACATTGATTGAATTGTATAGTAACATGAGTTGTCAAGAGCGTGATAGTTGAATATGTGTCTGTCAAGTGTGCGTGATGCCATGACTGATTTGTATTAGAGCAAGTGACTAATAGTATGTTCCTCCTTTCATTCCTGTACCCCAATTTTAACTTGTCAATCTTATACTACACTTGGTTAGCGAGGCCAATGTTCTGATCAGTTCTACACTAAAGATCTGTTACTTTAAATTCCATGACTTTTTTTAAATTACTTTTTCACTCTTCAAATTGCACCTGTTTTACATAGAGTTGAAGTTATGAGTTTTGCTTCCTTGAACAACTTATCCTAGGAATCTTTAATTGTGTTACAAGATCAAATAGCAATCAATTCAGAACAAACGAAAAAACCAGAACATTCCAGTAGATGTATATCATCTCAAAATGATGAAAATGACCACTACATGAATTCAGAAAATTTCAACATTTCCTTCATTTCAAAAACATTCTTTTAACATCCCGTGAATATTCTGTTGTAGTGTTAAGTTATGATAAAGGCGAGCGTTTCTGTAATATTCCAGATGTTGCTAAGAAAACTTGGCAACTGTTGTTGTTCCAGTATTTATAATTAATTTATTTCTGTGTTGTGTTTTGAGAAAACCATAACTGTTTGTGTTTTTGTAAGTGTTTATAGACACTACAATATATTTACATAATATATATGCTTTTGATATACTGAACAAAGGCATGCAATAAGTCACTACACAACATTCTGTCATCATGGTCTGATAAATGCCTTTTATATAAAAAAAAAAATCATGATGTCATTATAATTATCATATTTATGTATATGTACATAGACATTTATAGCATCATTCCCATGTTTTATAATGTAAATATTGTGTATGAGAATCTGTCCTTTGACCTTTAGAGGTCAGAGGTAATGTATGTCCTTTGACCTTGGAGAGGTCAGAGGTTGAAAATACCTCGTCATTCAACAATGCTGGATTGAGAAATTGTTTCTTGCTTTTTTTCATCTCAATCATCTTCTGTCATTTTTTAATGGGGATGAAATATGGAGATGATACAGAAGACTGGTATGTCCTTTATGTACAGTACAGAAGAAAGTGCTACAGATGTATTCATATCACTGGTTGCGTTTAATGGCAAACTATCACTATTTTTTGTGTGGAAATTTTAAATGTATGGATTTTACATTGTTTTAATGAAACAAACTTCACGCAGGAAATAGAAATCTCAGTTCATTATCCTCAACTGTAATTTCATTCATCAAGGAGTTTTTTTCTCCCGTGTTTTATATGTAAACTTTTTAGATGAGATCTGATTTTCTTCTTTCAATTTTAAAATTTTATTTGGATAATGACACTACAGTAGATCTTTCTCACTTTTCCTTGTCTTGAAAAAACAACAAATCAAATAGGGAAGACTTCTAAGATATATTGAGTCTTGGAATTTGTTACATCCATCGATAAGTCAGCTGATGGTTGTTTGTTCCAACTCCTCAGTAGTTACACTGTACATACTTGTCTGAGTATTGGTGAACACAGGTAAAATGTCCAGGTCATATTTGTTGAATTTCAAGTATGGCCACAAAACCTCCTCCTGTACAGATGTTTTTATTTATTATATTATTATTTTTTTCTCCCTTTTATTTATTATCATATATGAATATAGGAGAATTATGATTGTAAATGTTAATACCGTGTACCCTGTACTCCAGTAAATAGGAACTACAGCTGGACGGGCTCCGTCGTCGCGACAATGTTGTATGTTTTAAGGCAGCACAATTTTATTTGGGTATTGTAGATGGGAAGCGTGCCAGCTGCTGAGCTAAAGACATGAATAATACCCGCCTTTCGCATGACGATGGCACTGGGATTGTTCAGGTTATGCTAGCTATGTATACACAACCAAACCAAACACAGATAGAACTGACTCCCAGGCCTTGTGCATTCTGTAGAGAACAGAGGGACTGGGAGCCTGGATAGCAACCACACTCTCACTAGCCCCCAAGTCTGTACTGCAGTTGTGTCAACATCACATACATGCTTGAACGACTCGACCCTCTGGGTCACAGAAATGCTTGATGAGAAAAATCAATACTTGCGAAATTGTGGGATAGAGGTATGTATACCACAGTACATTGCTCTTGTACACTGGAGAATAGCAAAAACGCGCTGGGAACTACAGCATTGGCCCTGAATTCTAGCATGAAATTAAATCTTCACAAAGACAGCCGTCAATTTATGTGTTTAAGAACGTGACAGGCAGATCCTTCCAAGTACATTGAAATTGAGTACATTGAAATAGTTTGAAAATTTAATTTGTATAAAGAGCCATTTTCTGCTGGCTTCTCTAATACAGAAAAGGGGGTTGAGATTTATGATCATCTCGGAGGCTGGGACAGGCTTGCTCCTTACTCAAGGATAGGTTTTGTATGGTTTTCTGCCAGCTGTTACCTAGGAATAATATTTGAATGCTCCAGAGCAGGCATGACGACATCTGTTTGGACCATCGTGAGATAAAAGTATGTGATGTGCACACACACACATAATGCAGTACAGTACTAATTCCCTTATCAGAGGTTCAAATTCCCTGTTAGACACGTCAGTGGTCTGTTGGAGGTCCCTGTTAGACTTTCAGATATAGCCTTGCTACATTAGTCATTTACATGCAGAATTTTAGATTATGTGAGTGTGGCCTATACACTACTACTAGTAGTAACCCAGGACCCCATCATTCTGCAATAGACTGGTCCAGATCAACTAATGCCACAGTCTATTGTGGCCATACAGGGGTAACAGTACAGTGCAAGTAGATGCCATCAGGGAACATTTTTTCATAGGTAAAACACAAACTTTTTTTATTGCTGGAAAAAAGTGTTTATCTTGTACAGTTTTAAAACTATATAATGTGTGTAAAAAAAGGCAGGCCATACTATACTGAAATGTGTTTCTTGTTGCTTTGTAAAGTATGTGCAAAGGGGGTACTATTTATTTATGTACGTAAAAAATAACAAAAGAAACCTAGTCAAATTTGTAGATTTAGTCCCTCCTGGAGTACTGGGTGGGAATCGTGGCCTCGCCCTTGGGCGAGACAACCTCTTGGCCATAATGGATTATCATCCAGTTTATATTGTGCAATATTGATCTATTTAAATGTGTGTTGTCTTGTTTGTGGTGCAGTTTTAAGTGGAGTATATTGTGCGAGTTATTACAAAGTGACACCATAGTTCCTTTCAGGTAGATTTTATTAAGTGGTAGGTTTATGCAATGTATATTTTTAGACAATTTTTAATCTTCATTTAGTGGCTTCTTCACCAGTTTTTTTTTTCTTGCGTTAAATGATGAGTTTTACACTATTTGGAAAGGACATCAATTTGTAATAATAATTAATTTGAAAAAAAATGTTTAAAAAAATTAATAGAACTGAACTTTTTTTGTGATCAGTTCCTTAGAAAATGTGGGGATTTGTTTGGACAAAAAATTAGTTCAAAACTTGCAGTATGTATATATATATAGGACTATATATACGTATATATATATAGGTTATGAACACAAACTTGTCTGTCCAGCTTGCATATTAACCAACCCTTGCACCCCTATCACCCACTGTTGTCTGACCCTAATCATGTACCAGAGGGGTCCATCATGATGCAGTAGGGATGGAAGGGTTCCAGGTTTATTTTCCGTCGTTATTTTATACTAGATGGCTGTGTGTGTGAAAACGGGCTCTTGCCCAGTTGTAAACATTGGTTTTGATCAACACACACTTATGCAACAACTTAGAAAAATCTTGTACCAATAAGAACAATAAATAGTCGCCAAGCAAAAAACTGTTCATTTTGTTTTGTTTTCATTGCTATTTTGATACCATTTTGTACAATTTTATTGACCTTTGATTGGATGTTTCAACTGATTTCATATAACATTTTCCCTGAGATATCTCGGATATCTTACACAACTTACCATCACACACCCGTCTATACTGTATACAGGTACTTTGACAGCAGTGCAGGGTTTACTCATCAAGGACATCACACTTGATGTTTTGTAGTATATGTGAAATTAAAACAGCATAGGAACAAAGCTCAGTACGGTATGAAATTAGCCTTGTGGATAGATGTGTATTTGCAGAATATTTTAACACCAATCAAGAGACAATTTCAAAAACTTCTATTTTTTCAAAACATTGGGACTATTTCCCAAGTTTCATTGTAATGTCATCTGGTGACCTTTCAAGTGGACGTCATACTGGCTTAGCTCAAAATTTATTGTCACAATTCTGATACTATTCAAAGGATTCATACAACACAAATTGTGCTCATTATCAATAAAATAGCAGTGATACCCATTCTGATTTGCTGCTTCAACATCTAACCAACATGGCTGTCATTCATTTTCATCTTGGAACATGATCCTCCTATGCCACTTTGGAGTTTTGAAATAATGCATTGCCGATGGTTTCAAGTGACCTTTGACCTTATCAGAGCAATATACTGTAAATCGGTCACATTCTTCAGAGATTTATCTTCACATTACTCT